ACGTATTATTTAGGTTCAAAATTCGTTAAGGTACGAAGCGCTTCTTTGTAATATTTTTATTGCGGTCGTGCCAGGTGAAATGTCAGTTCAGTGCGACAAATTTTATTTAACGCTCCCGCAGGTGCAATAAGATGTGGGAAATGCATTCAAGCCGTTATTGCATTGAATTTAAAGCCATTAAAAATGGCAGTGTATTATTGTTGTTGGTTTTAGTCTAAACCCATATCTGTTTCGTATCATGTTAAGTCTATTCCAGGACCGAGAGCGTCCGGTGGGTGAGGGCCAAGGGGAGGCGTAATGACGTTTGCCCCCTCTCCTGCCAGACCCGCGGCGTATCGTATTCCTTAAAGCACATCTCGCTTTTCTTTCTCTTTTTCCTTTTGCTTTTTTATTTTCCCCCGCTACATTTTTATCCGATACGGCGCAGCATGACGCAAAGGCACGCCGCGCCGGGCAAACGTCGCCGCGACCTCCAACCGCCGCTGCGCCACATCAAAGTACATTCCACTGCGAAAGGAAGGGCGGGAAAATACAAACGCATTTAACCGGTTGCAAACAACCGTGATTTGGAGAAAGTAAGGTCAAGATGTCGTCAACGGTTTTACGTGTAAGGGCTCATTTTGTTGTTATTGCCGCCATAGTCTGTGAATTGCATAAATACGGTACGGTGTATTTTCAAACAGACAATAATTCGCATCAAGGATATCAATAAGTAACTAAGAGTCAGGTTGGAAAATTATATATTAAAACACACAACTACATCTCATCGATTAAAATGTTTACACATTGTGTACACAACAGTGTAAAACGGAGCAGGCGGAGGCGGATAGATTTTCTCATTTGTGGGTGCGCCTATGTCTTGACAGACTGCTTGCATGGAGGAATTTGTTTTTGCACACGTTGCACTCAAATTGCTTCTCTCCCGTGTGCGTTCCCATATGTGCTGTACGAGCGTTGGAATGAGTGAACTCCTTGGAGCAGATTGTGCATTTAAATGGCTTTTCTCCTGTGTGCGTAAGCTTATGTACACGCAAACCGTAGGATTGTGAGAATTTTTTGTGGCAAACTGCGCACTCGAACGGTTTCTCTCTGGTGTGGGTTCGAAAATGCGTCCTTAAAGTAGAAGAACTGGATAATTCTTTCTCACACACGACGCACCTATATGTTTCCTCATTGGAGTGGATTTGCATGTGCAAATTGAGCCCAGAAGATTCAGCGAATTTCTTGTGGCATACGATGCATTCATGTGGTTTGTCTCCCGTGTGCCCTCGTAGATGTGAACGTAGACCGGCAGACTGTGCAAATTTCTTATGGCAGACTGTGCACTCGAATGGTTTTTCTCCTGTGTGCGTTCGCATATGTTTGCGCAGATCGGTAGACTCAATAAATTTCATGTCGCACTCTGTGCACTCGAATGGCTTCTCTCCAGTGTGCGTTCGAAAATGATTTTTGAGATGACTTAAGTATGAGAATTTTTTGTTACATACAGAACACTCAAATGGCTTTTCCCCCGTGTGTACCATTAAATGTTTTCTCAAAGTGCTCGAGGTAGCGAATTTTTTGGGGCACAGGGTGCACCCGTATGGCTTTTCTCCTGTGTGCGTACGCTGATGTACACCCAAAGTGGATCGTGAGAACTTTTTGTGGCAAACTGTGCACTCGAGTGGCTTTGGCTTCTCCCCCGTGTGCTTTCGCAAATGTGTACGCAAAAGGGTTGACTGTGTAAATGCTTTGCCACACACTGCGCACTCGAAGGGCCTCTCTCCTGTGTGCAACCGCAGATGTGCATTGTAACTTCCAGACTGGGAGAACTTCTTGTGACAGACGCTGCACTCGTACGGCTTTTCCCCCGTGTGCGTTCGCAGATGCTCCTTCAGAATTCTAGCCTGCGAGAACTTCTTGTCACACAGAGTGCAATCGAATGGCTTTTCCTGTGGGACGGTTTGTTTCTTCATCTTCTTTTTAGCTGAAGACGTGCCTTCTGACTTCGATTTGGATATGAGAAAATTAGCCGGAGCTGGAACGGAAGAGAGGAACAAAAAGTTATTACTCATTACATTCACTGTTAAAAAGATGTCTGGGATTCCACGAAGAAGTAGCCGTGATTACTATTTACAATGTCGTATGGAATTTCCCAACAGCTTATATGTCTAGTGATGCTTGTAGACCCGTTTTACAACGCGCGTCCTTCAACTAACGTTACTACTTAAAACCGCTCAATAACTGGAGAATGGATTCCGCTGAGAATTCCCAGAAGTTAGTGAGTGAATCTTCGTGAACTCTCGACAAATTTTTAACATTGTTTTGTCCGACTTATTTTACTGAAGGTGTCTTTCGAAAAAACGTACTCATTGTGTTCATTTTCAACAATTAACTATATAGATGTGTTCCGCCCCAGGAACAGAGTACCCATCCTCCGTAGCCCACCAGTCCGAGGCTGTTCGGGGAGACGCTGGCGCCTTCAAGTTGAGAGGGAGAGACAGAAAGAGAGAGAGAGAGAAGGGGAGAAATAGGACAGGATGGGAGGGGGGAAGGGTGGTGGTCTTCCTCTTCTTTCTGGATGGTCACTTTTCCATGATAAATCGCCCGGTCGCCTATTCTTCCTTCGTAAATGGAGCAAGTGCTCACGCTCTCCTTGGAAGGGTTGTGAAAGGGCGCGAGAGCGGGGGGTGGGGGTGGGGGGGCTGAAGTCACCAGCGTGATGCACACCTACTGGAGCTCTCAGCAGATCTCAGTTCGATAAATCCCCGGCGGCGGTCCAGTGCGGAAGGTCTCTCCTCCGCCTTACATCTCCCTCCCATTCTGTTCATGCAGAGCAAGTGCTTTTTGTCCGGCCCGACTGGCGCTGGAGCGCGCGGCTGGAGCTCGCTGGAGAGCCGTGGGGAAGGGGGTAGTCGACTACCGCGGGGGCAAGAGATAGATAAAGAGAGGGTGCGGTGGTGGAGAAAGGGAGCGGGGCGATCCCGCAAGGGAGGCACAACGTACCATCAAGTGCTGCGCTTGAGTCACGCCTACGGAGTGTCATTCACTAATGACAAGTATGTGACAATGGGCTCACAGACTGTCGCACTTTCCATTCAGTGACTGACAAGTGTTGGTGGTGAAGTAAGGAGGGAGAGACCGGAGAGAGAGAGTTAGGAGGGAGAGAGTTAGGAGGAAGAGGAAATGGAGAGCCGGCTTTCAATTAGGCAATAGCATAATGATATAATAAAAAAGCACCGCTAGTATTTTCACTTCTGAATACTTAAGAGTAGACACGTTAAGTGAACCGTATACTGCGCACTGCAAGCACTGTAAAAATGTATGCATAGGCTCATCTAAAGAGCTAACAGAAAGGAAATTAGGTCAACCGTGGACAAGAACAAAATATTTTACTTACTTCTTGTTCAAGTTATCCAAAAGGCGTGACCGATGATTCGAACCGAAGCACTCTTTGTAGCCTAGCGCGGAGATGTAACGCCGTTGGGCGCATCCTGCAGACTGGCCCTGGCCAGGTGCTGGCCAGCCTTATATAACGTCGGTCCCGTGACGTGGTGCGTTTTAGGTGCGCTCCTAGCACGGTGCATCCAGTAAGGAGGGAGAGGAAAAGGAGAGGGGGGGGGGGCGTAGAGATGAGGCTCGGGGGAAACTGGTCGCCGGGCCGGGCCCCGATCGAGGAGACAGGCACTGACCTATGGGGCAGGCTGCTGCGCTGTCGCTCTATACAGTTGGGACGGGCAGACACCATACAAACCGTATAAGTCGAACGACATGTAATCTGTAATAACGGCTGTTCTCTCTCTTCTTTCCAGCTTAGGCTGATTTTCTCACACCCATATCGAGGACAGAAGACACGTCTGCAGCTATCGCTACTGGCTAACTAACGGAGGACGCTCACCGCAGTGAAGCAACGCGAGGACCCGGCTACCACGAGTACTCGAACAAGATGGGGAAACAAACCGTCCCTCAGGAGAAGCCATTCGATTGCACTGTGTGTGACAAGAAGTTCACGCAGGCTAGAATTCTGAAGGAGCATCTGCGAACGCACACGGGGGAAAAGCCGTACGAGTGCAGCGTGTGTCACAAGAAGTTCTCCCAGTCTGGCAGTTACAATGCACATCTGCGGTTGCACACAGGAGAGAAGCCATTCGAGTGCGTAGTGTGTGGCAAAGCATTTGTGCAGTCCACCATTTTACGTTCGCATCTGCGGATCCACACAGGAGAGAAGCCATTCGAGTGCCTAGTTTGCGGCAAGAAGTTCGCTCAGTCTTTTTCTTTGGTCTCACATAAGCGTACGCACACAGGAGAAAAACCGCACAGCTGCACCCTGTGCCCCAAAAGTTTCTCTCAATTGGGCAATTTGAAGCTACACCTACGGATGCACACGGGGGAAAAGCCATTTGAGTGTTCTGTATGTAAGAAAAAATTCTCCTACTCAAGTCATCTCAAAAATCATTTTCGAACCCATACCGGAGAGAAGCCGTACGGGTGCACAGTATGCGACATGAAATTCATTGAGTCTAACGATCTGCGCAAACATATGCGGACTCACACTGGAGAAAAACCATTCGAGTGCACAGTCTGCCATAAGAAATTTGCACAGTCTTCCAGTCTACATTCACATCTACGAAGGCACACGAGAGACAAACCACACGAATGCATCGTATGCCAGAAGAAATTCGCTGATTCTTCTGGGCTCAATTTGCACATGCAAATCCACTCCAATGAGAAAACATATAGGTGCGTCGTGTGTGAGAAGGAATTATCCAGTTCTTCTACTTTAAGGACGCATTTTCGAACCCACACCAGAGAGAAACCGTTCGAGTGCACAGAATGCTCTAAGAAATTTGCCACACCTGCTCTTCTGCGTAATCATAAGCGAATCCACACAGGAGAAAAGCCATTCGAATGCACAATCTGCTCTAAGAAGTTTTGCCAGCCTAGCGCTCTTACGGAGCATAAGAAAACGCACTCGTCAAAAAAGCAGTTTAAGTGCACCGTGTGCAAAAAAAAATTCGTTCATTCAAGCAGTTTCTCAAGACATAGGCGCACCCACACATCTTAAGAAATTTAGCCCACTACCGAAACAGGCCGCCTTGCGAAAATGTCGTTAATGTTTCCAGGTTGGTAATGGTCAATTTAAACCCTATCACACAGTAGCTCGTCTGAAATCTCTTTTCACGACGAATCTTTAATACTTTCCAATGTCGTAAATGTGATCGTCGCTGATTAATGATAATTGCAGGTATTTTAGTGCACATACCATGTACACTGATATATATTAGTGATCATCAATGATTGCTGATACATCAGCATACAATGTGCACTTTTAAGTTTTCAGAGCATTTATCGTTTGTGGCATTGACTGTAATATAAACAAAGTTCTGCCTTATGTTTTCATATTGAGCATTTTATTTTTATTGAAAAGGCTGTGGGTTTTTTAAAATTAAGTCTCGTGAACCATTTTAGTGGATATTCTTATATAGTTCATGTTTTTTTTTTTGTGTTGTAAGTTTTAGTAAGTTTGCATATTAAAACGTTCACTGAAAAACCGACAAATTATATTGTGCAGGCCTATAAAATGGGGCTTTATATTTTCGCTGTTAGACATTCTGTTAGTGTTGATTGAATCTTAACCTAGTTTTACAATATTTTTACATATAATTGATAGCAGATGTAAAACCATCTCGTGAGATTATTGTTTGTCGATCAATCCGTCCAAGTGCGATTTCGGCGTGTACTGTACGTTCTAAGTGAAGTATATTATCATGTATTATAAATATATTGTGTTAATTATTGACATCATCGAAATGATTATCATTTTGACTACCTCTGTTGTCCTCGGGGTGTTGATTTAAAACCTAGCTCCGTTGCGTTTATATCGTTGCGTATTGTATTAAACTTCAAATACTCTAACATGACCTGTCCTGTAGTGGTTCTTTTGCAGAGGTCCACAGAAATAACTCAAACGATCCACACC